TTTTGATTATAACGACGATTTAGCTGGCGAAGGATTTTTGAAAGTTACGTTTTAAAATTGAGTGCAAAGGATGTCAAAAAATTAGAAAATCAGAAAATCAACTAGCCAGAGAGTTAAACAATTGTAAAATCGGAAAATATGAAAATTTGCATGTCAGGTAATCAGAAAATCGGCAAATCAGAAAATCAGAAAATCAGAAAATCAGAAAATCGGAAAATCAGAAAATCAGAAAATCAGAAAATCAGAAAATCAGAGAATCAGAAATTCAGAAAATAAGAAAATCAGAAAATCAGAAAATCAGAAAATCAGAAAATCAGAAAATCAGAAAATCAGAAAATCAGAAAATCAGAAAATCAGAAAATCAGAAAATCAGAAAATCAGAAAATCAGAAAATCAGAAAATCAGAAAATCAGAAAATCAGAAAATCAGAAAATCAGAAAATCAGAAAATCAGAAAATCAGAAAATCAGAAAATCAGAAAATCAGAAAATCAGAAAATCAGAAAATCAGAAAATCAGAAAATCAGAAAATCAGAAAATCAGAAAATCAGAAAATCAGAAAATCAGAAAATCAGAAAATCAGAAAATCAGAAAATCAGAAAATCAGAAAATCAGAAAATCAGAAAATCAGAAAATCAGAAAATCAGAAAATCAGAAAATCAGAAAATCAGAAAATCAGAAAATCAGAAAATCAGAAAATCAGAAAATCAGAAAATCAGAAAATCAGAAAATCAGAAAATCAGAAAATCAGAAAATCAGAAAATCAGAAAATCAGAAAATCAGAAAATCAGAAAATCAGAAAATCAGAAAATCAGAAAATCAGAAAATCAGAAAATCAGAAAATCAGAAAATCAGAAAATCAGAAAATCAGAAAATCAGAAAATCAGAAAATCAGAAAATCAGAAAATCAGAAAATCAGAAAATCAGAAAATCAGAAAATCAGAAAATCAGAAAATCAGAAAATCAGAAAATCAGAAAATCAGAAAATCAGAAAATCAGAAAATCAGAAAATCAGAAAATCAGAAAATCAGAAAATCAGAAAATCAGAAAATCAGAAAATCAGAAAATCAGAAAATCAGAAAATCAGAAAATCAGAAAATCAGAAAATCAGAAAATCAGAAAATCAGAAAATCAGAAAATCAGAAAATCAGAAAATCAGAAAATCAGAAAATCAGAAAATCAGAAAATCAGAAAATCAGAAAATCAGAAAATCAGAAAATCAGAAAATCAGAAAATCAGAAAATCAGAAAATCAGAAAATCAGAAAATCAGAAAATCAGAAAATCAGAAAATCAGAAAATCAGAAAATCAGAAAATCAGAAAATCAGAAAATCAGAAAATCAGAAAATCAGAAAATCAGAAAATCAGAAAATCAGAAAATCAGAAAATCAGAAAATCAGAAAATCAGAAAATCAGAAAATCAGAAAATCAGAAAATCAGAAAATCAGAAAATCAGAAAATCAGAAAATCAGAAAATCAGAAAATCAGAAAATCAGAAAATCAGAAAATCAGAAAATCAGAAAATCAGAAAATCAGAAAATCAGAAAATCAGAAAATCAGAAAATCAGAAAATCAGAAAATCAGAAAATCAGAAAATCAGAAAATCAGAAAATCAGAAAATCAGAAAATCAGAAAATCAGAAAATCAGAAAATCAGAAAATCAGAAAATCAGAAAATCAGAAAATCAGAAAATCAGAAAATCAGAAAATCAGAAAATCAGAAAATCAGAAAATCAGAAAATCAGAAAATCAGAAAATCAGAAAATCAGAAAATCAGAAAATCAGAAAATCAGAAAATCAGAAAATCAGAAAATCAGAAAATCAGAAAATCAGAAAATCAGAAAATCAGAAAATCAGAAAATCAGAAAATCAGAAAATCAGAAAATCAGAAAATCAGAAAATCAGAAAATCAGAAAATCAGAAAATCAGAAAATCAGAAAATCAGAAAATCAGAAAATCAGAAAATCAGAAAATCAGAAAATCAGAAAATCAGAAAATCAGAAAATCAGAAAATCAGAAAATCAGAAAATCAGAAAATCAGAAAATCAGAAAATCAGAAAATCAGAAAATCAGAAAATCAGAAAATCAGAAAATCAGAAAATCAGAAAATCAGAAAATCAGAAAATCAGAAAATCAGAAAATCAGAAAATCAGAAAATCAGAAAATCAGAAAATCAGAAAATCAGAAAATCAGAGAATTGGGAATTCTGAATTAGGCAAATAGGTATACTGCCCATAATCTCATATCAGTCCCATATGGAAAATGTAGGCATTGAGAAAATTTGAGTCGAAGTTACAAAGTGCGATTTCTATGTAAATATTTGAAAAATCATAGTAAATTTATTAATTCTTTGTTCAAGTTTAAATCAGTTGCATTGAAGCTCGCATGTTGTGTTATATCAGCGAAAAATATGGCAACTGGAGAAGCATAACTGTAACCTCACCTCTGGACGATTGAATTTAAGAATGTGACTGATATGCGATTACTTTGCTTGATGGGACAAACTAACTTGATGTTGTTTTCACATTTGTCATGATCAAAGTCCGTAGTTTTATCACATAATATGAAAAAAGATGGCAACTGGTAGTGGATAGCGTTGTTATTTCAAAATTGACGAAAATACATATGGGACTGATATGCGATTATAAGCAGTATAGGGAATTAGGAGTAAGGAATTAGGAATAGAGGAAAGAGGATGGAGAATTAGGTATGGCAAATTAAGAATTAAGAATTGGGAATAGAGAATTGGGTATTGATAATAGTCAACAGGAAATAAGAAACTAAAAATTATGAATTGGAAATTCAAATTAGAAAATCATAAATTCATAAAATCAGAAAATCAAGAAAAAAAAATACAAATCAACAAAACAGAAAACCAGAAAATCTGTGAATTTCAAAATCATAAAATCATATAATCAGAAAATCAGACAATCGGAAGATCATCAAATTAGAAAAACAGAGATTCAAATAATCATAAAATCAGTGAATCATAAGATCATATAATCATAAATATACAAATTCAGAAAATCAGATATTATCAGATAAAATCAGACCATCAGGATATCACACAATCAGAAAGTCAGAAAATCAGAAAATAAAAACAAATCACAAAATTCGAAAATTAGACAATTAAAAAATTAGAAAATTATAAAATTAGGAAATTATAAAATTAGGAAATTAGAATATTAGAAAGTTAGAAAATTAGAAAATAAGAAAATTAGAAAATCAGAAATTGATTAATTGAGAAATCCAGAATTGTAGAAAATCAGAAAATCAAAAATTCGTAAAATTTGACATCACAAGAAATCCGACGACTCAGAAAACCTTAAAATCAGAAAATTCAGGAAATCAGAAAATAAAAAATCTGAAAAACCAGAAAATCTGAAAATCAGAAATTCAGAAATGCATTGAAGCAGAAAATCAAAAGAGCAGATAATTAGTTAGTTAGTTAATCTTTACTATAGAGACTTGCACAAAAAGCAGATAATCAGAAAATCAGGACACAGAAAATCATAAATCCAGATAATCTGAAAAATTAAAGACTGGTTATTCAAAATTAGGAATTAAGAATTGGAAATCGGGAATTTGGGATAAGCAAATTGGGAATTGAGAACAGGGAATTAGGAGTTGGAGAATGGGAATTGAAATTTAGGAATTGTTGAATTTAATTCAACGGGACGTTTCCAAAGTTATTATTCCCGCCCGGATACAAATGAATAAATAGAATCCAATTGTTGATATAGCGAGAATATAATTTTCCTAAGTAGTAGGTAGAATACATAATTTTCATTAGATTCCATTCGTATAATAGATTTAGTTGCATATTAGCTTAGGCAATGGTACGAACTTGTTGTAAGTTTAATGTAATTTTAGGTTACTAACGTTTAGTTCCCTTTGTAAATTTCAACCTCAATCCAATCAATAGAGCAGCTGATAGTTTTAGCAGTAAGGCCTGGTAATCATAAGTTTTAGCCAATAGTTTTTGTTTTTTTGTTTTTCTTCATATAAATTCATCGTCTTCATCTCTAGGAGCTTTCAGAGAAATGACTCTTACCGATTCTGGTAGCTACTTCAGTACATCGGGTGTAGCTCAGACGTAGTGATAACAAAGGTATAAGGTTAGCTGTAGGTCCTAAATGTTAATAGTTGATATCTTTTAGTTATAAGTTTGAACTTATGTATAACTCCTTACCAATTTGATCGTAGTTACTTTACACTAGTCTAGGTTTATACACTAGCTTTAAGTAATATAAATACACCTATTAATTAAGATTAACACTCTGTAGAAATTAGCATGCTTCTTGGCATGAAACCATCGTGTTTACACATTTTCCCTTTTGTTCTACCGTTCTCTCAACTGTACTCACCAGACGTGACAATTACCTGTCACTTCGCTGTACTCGGAACCACCGCAGCAGCGCGCTACGCGTGATGCTGTCACCACCGCAGTTTACGGGCTGAAGGTGTTGGCGCTGGCCTAACAGGGTGGGCCAACACTCACTCCAGAGTACGCCAACTTCCGGTGGGCTTACTACTCTACGCGCTGAACATCCAACACTGCTAACTTGGCTGCTGGACGTTCGTAGACACCGGTGAATGTTTGTACGATTGCGGATCGGACTTGACCGTCCTTACTGGAAATCGTACTGCAGCTCCGGGGCATCTTAGGGTTGACGAAAATTACAACCATCTCCATTAGCGACCGGCTTAACAGACTGGAACCATTTGGACCGACGAGTGATTTCAGGAAGATAACCAGTTACCCACCACTTCCAGAACAGGTTGGGCAGAATCTGAGAGGTGCACCAGTTCTGCCTTAGGGCGAGACGTCAGTCGTCACTCTTGACCAGTGGTTTCGTTCCGTTGGATGAACCGAGTAGGCAATGCTTCGGGGTGAGAGCCGGAGCAGAATCGTCGTCTGCTGGTACGTGCGTGAATGGCCGGGAGTTTACTACGTTCTCTATTTCGGTTAGAGTGTTTCGCAGCACTTCGTCGGACGGTTTCTTAGTTATGCAGACAGCCATCAGGTTGCTCTTTACTGTTCGTATTAGCCGCTCCCAACTTCCACCCATGTATGGTGCCAGAACTAGTGAACTCCTTCATTATCTCGTCATGGTTGATCACTTCTTCAAGCTTCTTCAGCTCTCGATCCACTCCGACGAAGTTAGTTCCCCGGTCACTGTAGAATTTACGGGGTAGCGAGTGAACTACTTCAATATGTATCGCTCGAACGGTCAAGCATGTGGCTAGCATTCCCCAGCGTTTCTCAACCCTCCATCCAACGAAGACTTCAGTTGGGCCGAAGTAATCGACTCCCGTGTGTGTGAACGGGCGTGAGAATGCTGCTAGACGACCAGGAGGTAGGTCGGCCATAAATGGAGGATTTGGTGCTGCTTGTTCGATCTTGCATTTTTGGCAATCTCTGCGTGCTTGGTTGAAGCACGAGCGTAGGCGGCCGATTTGGTATTTTTGCCGCAGTTCGTTTATCACTGTTTCGTGGTTGTGTGGTAAGATGATGGGTTTCTTCGCATCTTCAGTGGTGTACTGGCAAGCGGCGATACGAGTTCTCATGCGCAGTATTGCATGTTCGTCCAGCCACGGTGTCAACTTGTACAGTGAACTGGATCTCGGGAGCACTGCTGTTGGTTCCCCTGCGTTTTGTGGTGTACCTCGGAGGATGATAAATTCTTCAGGATAACCTTCCTGCTGTGCGAGCCGAATCAGGTATACTTCAGCTGTGTAGAGTTCGTTTTGGATGAGAGGTCCCGTTTTAATCGGCTGCTTCCGTTGCTTGGAGCAGCAGTTTGTAGTGAACCGTAGCACACGTGCGACAACATTTCTCAATTGTTCCCAGCTGGAGTAGCCCAAGACGCAAACGATTGGTTTTGGGAGAGCGTAGTGGACTGAAAGATTTGCTACGAGTTCAGCGTCTGTCGGTTCGTTCCGGATTGCTGACTGTGGCCACTTGTCCTCAGTTGTCCAGAGAAAGTCCGGTCCTTTAAACCACCTGCTCTCAGGAGATAGATCAGGCTGTACGTCCCACTTTGTACCATCATCCACTACATTCAGCTTGCTTGGTACGTATCGCCATTCGTGCGCTTCTGTAGCTTCCAGAATCTCCGTGACTCTAAACCCGACAAATTGAGTGTACCGTCGATGATCGGAGTTGATCCAGCACAAAACATCCCTTGAGTCCGACCAGTAGAACTTTCTCGTGATGATTATAGACAGCGTCTCAATGATCGTATGAGTAAGCCGTGTCCCTATCACCGCTGCTTGCAGCTCCAGTCGAGGAATCGAAGTGAGCTTCAATGGTGCTACTCTGGCTTTAGAGGTGACGAGAGAGCAGTGGATCGTCCCATTCTTGACAAATCGAAGAAATGATACAGCTACCATTCCATTTTTCCGGCATCTACGAACGTGTGTAGCTGTACTTCATCGGCTTCGATGAACGGATATCTGGTACTGTAGCATCGAGCAATCTGAACGTTCTCGACTTTGGGCAAAATTTTCAGCCAGGTGAGCCAATTCGCGAACGCATCTTCGCCAATTTCTTCGTCCCAGCTAATACCGGATCGCCAGATCTCTTGCAACTATACTTTCAGGTAGGCTAGGAAGTGTGCGATCAGTCCAAGTGGGTCAAATATAGTCATGAGGACTCGTAGAACTTCACGCTTAGTGGGCCGTCGTTCACCTTTCAGCAGAGCTCCGTCGTAACGATTCCAACCGACCTAGTAGGTGAATGTGTCAGACGTTGTTTTCCACCACATGCCTAGGACCTTCTCAGTGGATAACTTTGACGACAGATCGAGACTCTTTACCTCCGTGTTTCCTTCTTGCAGCGCTGATGTCACTTGTCTGGAATTTCTGATCCAGTTTCGGATCTCGAACCCACCTTGTGAGTGAACGTACCTAACGTCCTTCGCAGTCTGAATCGCATCTTCCTCGTTGGCAACGCTGATCAGCATGTCATCTACATAGTGTGACTTTGTGATGGCTCCGTATGGGGCTGGGTATTTATTCTTAAACCGCTCCGCGTTGACGTTCTTCACGTATTGAGCGCTACTCGGAGAACAGCACGCCCCGAAGGTCATGACTCGCATTGCGTACACTGCGAGGTTTCCATTTTCATTCGTCCAAAAGAAGCACTGGTATCGTTGATCTTCCTCGCGGATTAGCACCTGGTGAAACATTTCACGAATATCTCCAGTTACTGCAATAGGATGCAGGCGAAACCGAAGCAGAATCGCAAAAAGAGAAGACAGTAGATCCGGTCCTTTCAGTAGAGCAGAATTCAGAGACTTTCCGTGAACTTTGGTAGCCGCGTCCCACACTATCCTCATTTTCCAGGTTTGTTTGGATTTGTGACTGGGAATACTGGTAGGAACCATGTGTGAGCAGATTGCTGCTTAACTTCATCATCGGACAGCTTGCGAACGTATCCTTTTGCAGTATAGTCGGCAATCTTCAGCTGTAGTAATGAGAGAGAGAAGGATTAGTATTTTCCATTTAATTCCACTACTTTATTTGCTTATCCTTGACAGATACGCGTATTTCGTCTACAATGTGCAGAGTTCTTCAGTGTCTTGTACTAATACTTCTTCAGTCGAGTATTAGTACAAGACACTGAAGAAGTCTGCATATTGTAGACGAAATACGCGTATCTGTCAAGGATAAGCAAATAAAGTAGTGGAATTAAATGGAAAATACTAATCCTTCTCTCTCTCATTATACAGGTATTCCACTAAGACGCCCACATTCATCAGGATTCATCATGGCAACCAAGCCGTCGGAGCCAAATAAATTCATCGGATTGAAGAAAACCATCGCATCGCTTCACAAGGACGTAGCATTTCTGAAGAAATGCCAAAAATATAAGGTTATACCTATAAGCCATAGGATTAAGGTACGGACACCCACCCCACCCAGCGTAGTAAAGAGGATGGAAGCAGAGTTCATCAAGGATAGCATCAGACGGCTATATAGTAAACTGGACATGAAGGTTTTGGAATGTTATTATCTACATCTCAAATTGGCCAAGGAGTATCCAATTAAATTCCAGGAGTTTCTGTCTAGGGCCAAGGTAGCAGAGGAGTGCGAATCGGATAGGAAGCGGAAGCTGCAGGATAGGAAGCTAAACAGACTACGGCAGGAGTCTCAACGGAGACGGACGACACACCGAACGGGTGAGCAGATCCCATCAACCATCACCACGACGCCGAGGGTTCACTCCATTGATGGGTTGGTTGTCAACCGATCGACGACCGCATTCACGGAAGAACAATTGACACACCTCAACAAGGGGCTAGGATACGCGGTTACAACCAAGCCAGACGTGGAGCAGATCATCATTGACGTAGAAACAGCGATTACCAAGACGCTTCCAACAACATCACAGAATACGGTTAGGACTATCACATCGAACATAATCAAGGACGGACAGGACGGACGCGCCAACGAAAAAGAAATTCGGATTGTAAAGGAGCTAAAAAGTAAAGCAGTATACTACGTAAAGGCAGACAAGGGAAACGCGGTCGTTATCATGGACAAGGACGATTACGATAATCAAATGATAACGAAGATTAACAACGGACCGTATAGACAGCTTCGAGTAGACCCCTTACAGAACATAGTGAAACGCGTGGAGAAAGCACTGAAGGAGTGCAAATCGATATTAGGAGATGGAGCAGGTCGTATACGGGAACCCAATCCCATTCTACCCAGGATCAAAGGTCTTCCCAAAGTCCACAAACCAGGAAATGAAATGCGAGAGATCGTGTCTGCAGTTGGTTCCCCCACCCACAAACTAGCGAAGTGGCTAGTCAAAGAGTTCCAGAGTATGCCGAATCAGTTCCAGAGTAAAGCAGTTAGTAACACCCAGGAGTTCACCCAGCAACTACAATCTTCAGGAGACATCAACGAGGACGAGATTATGGTATCTTTCGACGTCACAGCTCTTTTTCCCAGCGTACCGGTCAAGGAAGCGATCAACCATTTGGAGGACTGGCTATTAACACAACGAGAGGATGCAGCATGGAGAAACAAGGTTCGGACGTACCTTAAGCTGACCCGCCTTTGTATGGAAGAAAACTACTTCTCTTTCCGAGGTAACTTCTACAAACAGACGAAAGGAGCCCCAATGGGAAATCCCCTATCCCCCTTCTTGTGTGAACTTTTCATGGCCAACTTGGAGACAATCCTGAAGGAGAAAGGACTATTACCAAACCGTTGGTGGAGGTTTGTTGACGATATCTTCAGCGTAGTTAAACGGGAAGCCCTTCCACAAATTTTAGATGAGATCAACAGAATTCATAAGGATATCAAATTCACTCACGAGGTAGAAAAAGACGGGAAACTCGCATTTCTCGATCTTCTAGTCATCAGGGAATCGTCATCATCTTCCTCGCTTGAATACGAAATTTACAGGAAACCAACAAGCACTAAAAGAGTTATCCCCTATACTTCCAACCATTCGTTCCAGCAGAAAATGGCCGCCTTTCACCACATGATTCACCGAATGCAGACTCTTCCACTCAGCGATACAGGAAAGGTTAAGGAATTACAGTACATCTTCGAAACAGCAAGACTCAACGGATACAAGGAGACCACAATCCAGGCAATCATCGATAAAAAAGCGAGAATTCTACAAAGGAGATTATTTACAACCCTCACCACAGCACCTGAACCATTGAAACGAGTGTCCGTTCCATTTGATCAAGATATTACTTGTAAACTAAGACCACAGTTAAAACAATTCGGATTAGATTTAGTTTTCACCAGTAGACATAACCAGTTGAAATCATTGTTAGGATCCACTAAAGACCCAGTTAATGTTTTAGGTAAAGCAGGTGTTTATAAAATAAGCTGTAATCATTGTAACAAAGTATATGTAGGACAAACCAAGAGAACTTTAGCAACTAGATTTAAAGAACATATAGCGGAGGTTAATAAGGCCAAAAAGCAAGAAGAAAAGGGCCTAACATATGATTTCAAATCAAAGGTTGCAGAACACATCTTCACAGAGGACCACCAACTATCGACGGAGGACATAACGATTTTACGAACCGTATCTACACCATGGAAATTGGATGTTGCAGAAAGCCTCGAGATCAACAAACAACGTAATTCAACTTTACTCAACAGGGATCAAGGAAACGGACACACATGGCTTTTCAAGTTACTACCTAGGACACATCACGAGTAAGCAGCGGAGTACCTGTTCCTATAGAAAATTAAATTTAAGTTTACCTAGTTCCTAAGTGAAAATGTACCTGTGTTAATATATATTCGGTAAATGCGATGTTTTTCTTCAGTCGAGTATTAGTACAAGACACTGAAGAAGTCTGCACATTGTAGACGAAATACGCGTATCTGTCAAGGATAAGCAAATAAAGTAGTGGAATTAAATGGAAAATACTAATCCTTCTCTCTCTCATTATACAGGTATTCCACTAAGACGCCCACATTCATCAGGATTCAGCTGTAGTACTTTCGACAACTGCGGATCCTTCGCCATACGTTTTTCTAAGGACTGATGGCGACGTAGTGCCATCTCTTGGCTATCGGGCAGACGGATGTCGTCGTATCGCCAAAGCAGGCCTGTTTCATAACGCTCACGATTGAAACGTGTACGGGACTCCAAGAGTGGTTAAAAACAATGAACAATGAATTATCGGCTCCGTAAAGCTAACGCGATTGAGCTTTGCAAATAAACAAACCAGCTTAATAAAACTTTTTTTATTTCATTACCATCCTTTTGCTATTCCCATTTCCATTTCATTTCGAAATACATTTTCATTCCGTTTCAAATTCCATTTTCTTTACATTTCTTTTCCACTTCTATATTTTTGAGCATTCTTCAACCATTTTCATTTCATTCCATTTTGAATTCTATTTCACACTCCATTTCCATAACATTTCACATTAAACTTCCATTCCATTTCCCAGTTCGGTTTTATTTCATTTCAATAGCGTTTCTATTGAATTTCCATTTTTATTTATTTCCCCTTCGCATCTACTTCCATTTCTCTTGGCACTCCAGTCCGTGTGTCCATTCCATTTTTCTTTGAATGACTAAAAATAGGTTGGTTTTCGAGATGCCTTTGTCTTCAATAGATCCTCGAGATGATGCCATATCACGCAATTTCCGAAAATGCTCTTGCAAATATGGCAGCATAAAATTGAGTGAAAAAGAAGGCCTCTTTAACCCACTCTTATACTAAAGTAAGAGCTATGTACTTGTACGTACTCTTCGAATAATACACATTGCCTCCTTCAAAGCAAACCCCATACATTATATGTATACACTTAATCAAGTGGAGTAATATAAAATTTATACTCAAACAAAAAAGCACACAAAATTTATGATTATGAGATCATAAAATATTGCGCTCCCGTTGTCGTTCGTGTGCCTCTCAATAAGAAGAAGATGGTGATGATGGCGGTGGCGGTGTTGAGCAGCTGGGAAGCAGTTTTTAGCGCGAGCAAACCCCGGCCTTTGCAGGAAACGTCTCAAGGTCCTCCGCTTCGACATAAAATGATTGTTATCGACAAGGAACGCCCAAACAACGAACGCGAATGAAATGCCTTGTAATTGGGTATCGTTTCCGGAATACCGGGCAGCGCCAGGAGCCGGGGGATTTGTATGGAACGTGCCGCACTTATTCACAAGATGGAAGGCGTTCGTGAGTCGTTCAAAGGATGTGTTGCTTTCGCCAGCCTTTATTGCCACAAGAGTTGCTGTTCGCGAAGTAAGTGGTGGAAGTGCTCTAGCGAAAGCAATAGGCTTTAATGTGAAGAATGGCGTGCTCGGCTAGTGGAAAAAGATCGCAACGTGCGAATTGGAATAACGTTTGGGTTTACGATTTAGTAGGAACAAACATTCAAACTTCACCAGCATAGAAGCTGAACTTGAATCTTCCACCCAGCAGCAGCAGCAGCAGTCGTCCATTTGTCAACTCAAATTGTCCAAGCCACAACCGAAGAAGTTTCCCAAACATCCGGCCTAGATTCGTTGACCCAACCGGCATAAATCCTTACTAATGATACGATAACGAAACTGAAACGACAACAACAGCAAAAGGACATAACTTTCTTTTCCTTCCTGGCAAAATTTGACTTCCTAGATCGTCGTCGTCGTCGTCGTGTGGAAAGTTTGTGTTGCAGACGGCTATGTACATACCGTACGAGTTGCATAAATCTTTTGCTTAGGAATGTGATGCACTTTGAAGAATATACAGAGTGGAATCTTCATAAGAAGGGATATGGCAACATGCCCAAAAGTTCAGTGTGTACCGTTACATTTGTTTAATATCAACACCCTGTTTTAATAATAGAGAATAATAGAAAATGGAATGGAATGCGAAATGGAATGCGAAATGGAAAGTTTAATGAAATGCAAAATGAAATGCAAAAATGGAATGCGAAAGGGAATGCGAAATGGAATGCGAAATGGAATGCGTAATGGAATGCGAAATGCAATGCGAAATGGAATGCGAAATGGAATGTGAAATGGAATGCGAAATGGAATGCGAAATGGAATGCGAAATGGAATGCGAAATGGAATGCGAAATGGAATGCGAAATGGAATGCGAAAGGGAATGCGAAATGGAATGCGAAATGGAATGCGAAATGAAATGCGTAATGGAATGCGAAAATGGAATGCGAAAATGGATTGCGAAATGGAATGCGAAATGGAATGCAAAATGGAATGCGAAATGGAATGCGAAATGGAATGCGAAATGGAATGCGAAAGGGAATGCGAAATGGAATGCGAAATGGAATGCGAAATGAAATGCGTAATGGAATGCGAAAATGGAATGCGAAAATGGATTGCGAAATGGAATGCGAAATGGAATGCAAAATGGAATGCGAAATGAAATGCGAAATGGAATGCGAAATGGAATGCGAAATGGAATGCGAAATGGAATGCGAAATGGAATGCGAAATGGAATGCGAAATGAAATGCGAAATGGAATGCGAAATGGAATGCGAAATGGAATGCGAAAGGGAATGCGAAATGGAATGCGAAATGGAATGCGAAATGAAATGCGTAATGGAATGCGAAAATGGAATGCGAAAATGGATTGCGAAATGGAATGCGAAATGGAATGCAAAATGGAATGCGAAATGGAATGCGAAATGGAATGCGAAATGGAATGCGAAATGGAATGCGAAATGGAATGCGAAATGGAATGCGAAATGGAATGCGAAATGGAATGCGAAATGGAATGCGAAATGGAATGCGAAATGGAATGCGAAATGGAATGCGAAATGGAATGCGAAATGGAATGCGAAATGGAATGCGAAATGGAATGCGAAATGGAATGCGAAATGGAATGCGAAATGGAATGCGAAATGGAATGCGAAATGGAATGCGAAATGGAATGCGAAATGGAATGCGAAATGGAATGCGAAATGGAATGCGAAATGGAATGCGAAATGGAATGCGAAATGGAATGCGAAATGGAATGCGAAATGGAATGCGAAATGGAATGCGAAATGGAATGCGAAATGGAATGCGAAATGGAATGCGAAATGGAATGCGAAATGGAATGCGAAATGGAATGCGAAATGGAATGCGAAATGGAATGCGAAATGGAATGCGAAATGGAATGCGAAATGGAATGCGAAATGGAATGCGAAATGGAATGCGAAATGGAATGCGAAATGGAATGCGAAATGGAATGCGAAATGGAATGCGAAATGGAATGCGAAATGAATGCGAAATGGAATGCGAAATGGAATGCGAAATGGAATGGAAATGGAAATGAAATGAAAATGGAATGGAAATGGAATGGAAATGGAATGGAAATGGAATGGAAATGGAATGGAAATGGAATGGAAATGGAAATGGAATGGAAATGGAATGGAAATGGATTGGAAATGGAATGGAAATGGAATGGAAATGGAATGGAAATGGAATGGAAATGGAATGGAAATGGAATGGAACCCCTTAACCATACCGGAGGAACGCCATAGTTCGGTCGGGTTGATCGTCGATCGTGATTTCTGTAGCATTCTGCTGATCATCTTCATCCACGCCTTCAGCCTTGAAAAACTGCATAGAGTCGCCAAGTTCTTCGCGATGTTCTGCCTCGAAAGATTCCACTTGAGCAATACGTACAGGAACCTCTTCAGAAACGACCTCTTCTGCGCTTTATCCACGGACTCATCTGGAATTTTCTTGGTTTCATTACGTCAAGTGTGGAGTGTACGTGTACGTTTAGTGTTAAAATTTACAACTCAAAAGTTGAAATCAACGAAATAGTAAAGATGGTAGCTGCGTATCTGTTTCGTTATGTTCAGCCTCCATTTTTTTCCTAGACGGTTTTGCTCGACACTCGAAGTTTTTCCAAGTAGGATTGTTTGAATAAATTGTGTGCCAAAATAAATACGCCCTTGTGAAAAATTACGCTTGTTTCCTAAAAACCCTATGCAAAGTTTCATCAAAATGGAAGATTCTTTGCGCATAGACGGGAGTTACTGAAACAAAATTGACACAACAGCGGGGCCCTGTTTACTAAAAATGAAAACATGAATAATTCTCGCGTAAAATTTGAAAAGGGCCCATCAACTTTTGTAAACAATTTGAAAGGTCCTTTTCACGAGAATCGAAGTACGCCCACGCAAACCAAGAGTACTATCGGGAAGGGGAGAATTTTCCCTACCCGTTGGTGTTGTTAGTTTGCGTGGGCGTATTCGGTTCGCGCGAAATGGGCTTTACTAGTTTTGTGTACAAAAGTTGGGCCTATAATCTTTTAAATATTTCAAATGTTACGCGAGTATTATTCATGTGTGGGCCCCACTATTGTGTCATTTTTTGCCGAGAGAGCAGGGTGGCCAGATTATTTTTTTCACTATCGGTAGCTTCTCAAAACTTTTATCGGTAGTTATTGGTAGGCCGTCTTAAGAAGGCTTCCCGAAACTTAAAACCTTTGTGAGTGGGGCAAGGACGAAAACAAATCACGCGCAATTTTGAACTATCGAACCGAGCCATCAGTCCTTTAACCTCACACATTGGATTGTCTAATCTAGAGTCGGTGTATAATGAGTCACGCCAAGAGTGAAGTCAAGTTTACCTATTGAACTGTCAAACCAGCTACCTATCCATCACATCAAAGTGGATTCACTTCTGGCAACACTGGCCGTTGCCCTCCTCCATCGCTGCAGTGAATTTGGACGATAGGGTAGTAAGTATGACAGATGAAGTGACGGATTGAAGAGAGGAGGATAGATAGATAGATAGATAGAAGATAATCTGTCAAAGAACGGAAGGTAGAAAATCACAAACAATACAGTATCGGTTAGAAGTGCTTAAAGTGAGTTTTTTTTAGTATTCTGTTCTTTGGGAATTTGTAGAAAGTTTGTGGACGAATTTAGGTCAGTGGAGGTTACAAAACACGGAACGACAAGCAGACGACTCACAGATAGGTAAAACGAAAAAAAAAACACTGTAAAAATAAATTAAATTAAAACACTGAATTTGTTATAGGCGAAAGAACATTTCAGAGCGGTCAAGGTAGAGGAAAGATTGTTTGAAGGAGGAACAACAACTAGAATTGTGAGTACTTTAACTAAAACCACAAACTGTGAACACTAAAACTATATTTTAAACGAATTCTTGCAGTTTGATCAAGTTTATTTACGGTTGATTTACAAAAAAAAAAAAACGGTTTTGTTTTTCTTTGATCCGAACACGTGTCAAAAATATGATGTGATACCCAACAAACTATTCAGAGTCACAAATAAGCATACATATTGAATAAATGCTGTATAAAAGTGTACAATGCTGAATAAAACGGGGTGTCGAACTATGTGCTGAAAAAACCTCATTGAGAGCGATAGATGCGCCTTTATTCCGTTGTTTGCTCTGATCTGATTTATTTACTATTTTAAAGCTTTATAAACGTTGACTGTCTTCCTGATTCCACACCAGAAGTTTAATCCAATAACAAACTGAATAAGTGTAATTTGCACATAAATTGACGCTTCAAATCGATTGTTATCAATTGATTTAATAACATGCCTTATAAGACGTCTTATAAATGTTTTCTAGCTCCATTATTAGATTTCATTGCATTGCTTTATAATATTACTGTATAAAGGTGTACACAGTCAGCAAAATAGCTCTTATACCGCTATGCGTCCATGTTTTGATTTCATGCTTTGAAATGCTTTATAAACGACGTATTAGATTCATTATTCCACAACACTGGTTCCGTCTAACAACAATCAGTAGAGTAGTGGTTACCGTTTCCGCTTTCCAAGTAGAAGGTCGCGAGTTCAATCCCATGCTCAATCCTTTTTTTAGTTGTGTTCTGAATCTTAAACATCGATCACATCACTCACGACAACACATTCGTTGATTAAGTTTAATACATAACCCAACATCCTTTCCTTGGAAATTGGAGAGGTGAAGGGGTAGAATTGGTCTCATGTAAAACAACGATGAATGAATTAATGATTCCCACTGGAACTTGGGACGTTCGGGAATGCTGATAGGTATTCAGTTTCAAGCAAGCTTTTATTGAATATTGAGCAGCCCATATGATGTAATCTAGGATAGCTCAGATGGCAAGGCAAGCGGCTGGTGATCGGGAAGGTACATGGTCCGGAACCCATGCAACGGACATGTAAATGTATGTAATAAATGTTCTAGCATCTGTTGTGTGGTGCGTGCCTCGTCAGAAATAATGAAAACAATCACTAAAGGAAAGACAACGCTGTCTGTTGTTCTCTACCGTTTTTTTCGGGTTAATTTTCCCGCAGTTTGAATAATCGTTTAGTAAATGTATAATAGAGTCTAATTTTAAACGTTACTTAAAATAATGATAATGAAGCGTATATCATCGCTATCTAAGGAGGAAAAGATAGGATGTCTAATAATTACTGAATAATAAAACAATTGATCGAATAAAAACTCTGTTACGACTCAAGAAAGTCGAAAAATAGCTTCTCAACATACCTTAGCCAACAGTTGTGGTTGGTTGAATAAATTCTCCAGATT